TATATATATATATATATATATATATATATATATATATATATATATATATATATATATAAATAATTCATAGTATTCACCTGATATACAAATGCATATATATAGTTTAAAACAAACACTAGTATTAAAAAACAGAGGGAAAAAGTGGTTTTATGGACTCCAGCTAACACCCAAAATCAATATTACTTCCTTTACAACAATTTCCCCCCACCAAAAAGCACCCCAAATAGTGCCGAAAAATGAATATTAGAAGAATCCATCATGATTTGCATTGTCATATTCTCCACTCACACTGCCCATTTTGCATCACTTATCGAAACTTAACTTTGTCCTCTAAATTTTGCACAATAAAAAGCAAAATAAATTTTTACTAAATTATTTATTACTAGAGCCTTCAAATAAAAAAATGGAAATTCATAATCTCCTACACTTTAATGTAACCATTGCTATATTTTTGCAATATTAGGAACCTCCCTCATTCACATCCCCATGCCTCACGCTATTCTAGTTTCCTATAGATCCTATATGGCCCCATTGCCACAGGATCTTAGCACCTAACAATCTTTTAATGCATTTATCCTCAAAACATGCCTGTGATGTAGTGATGGGGAACTGAGAGATTAAATGTTTGTCTAAGGTCACACAGGAAATCTGTGGTGGAACAGAAAATTGAACCCTGGTCTCCTGAGTCCCTTATCTAGGTTTTCCTTCCTCTTGCTTACGGAGAGCATACATCCCAAGACCAGGTTAGCGCAATGCCCCCTCCCTCATCATTTTGTCATCCTGGACCCATATCCTCTGCAGATTGGCATAGAGGGAGATCTGCAACACTGACTCACTAGTGGGCTTCATATACTCACACCTGAAGAAGAGCTCTGCATAAGCTCAAAAGCTTATCTCTTTCACCAACAGAAGTTGGTCCAATAAAAGGTATTACCTCACGCACCTTGTTTCTCTAATATACAAATATACATATTTACATACATAAACAAGATTAAACAATATGGCTGGATAGACAGAAGAATACATTTATTGTCCACTGCTTATACTATTATTATTGTTGCTTGCATTGTTTAGCATCTAGAGGCTCCAATCAGGGATCAAGGTGCTAGAGTAGAACATATATAACAAGGATCAACAGTACCGGTGCCAAATAGCTTACAGTCTTGGCATACAGCTCTGATGAGACATAACAACTGGACAAAGCAAATGGGGAAGTGGATGGGGATGTGAGAGAGGGTGTACAAACCCCACACTGGTAAATAAAAGGGTTAAGGAGCAGATCTGGGCCAAGATGCCCCTGCTGGGCATGCTCATAGCGAGGCAGAGCTCAAAATGGAGCAGCTCAGCTCAGTAAGGACCAGGGGAGCAGTTGTATGTTGCAGGCTCCTGCCAAGAAGCCGCAGAGGCCCCACGTGGCTAGGCCCAGGCCTCACTGCCAAGCCGCTCCAGACCTTTCAATCACGGAGGTAAACAACAAGAGGTGACTGCAAGAGAAAGACCCACTGGAGCACAGACGGAAAGGACTTCAGGAGGGACCCAGGGGCGAACCAGTGACGCCAACAGAAGAACAGAAGCCGGGGTAGAAAGTGGCCCAGGGAGCAGGCGTAGGGGTACCTGCCACCCTAGGCCGCACATTCTGAACTACTATTTACTGGGCCCAGGGTTTGAACCTGTAGAGCAGGAAGGGCCCAGGTTCCCTTACTCCCACTGTTGGACAATGTGGCCAGTGACTCCTGACGCTGGGCAACATAACCCGGAGTAATACCACCAGGAGGTTGCTGTCAGAAGCCTACCCGAAATCCCCCAACCCCTAACAGGGTGACAATATACCAATAAAGAAATCATATTTAGCATAAATAGCATAGCACACTAGCTGCCTAGCCATTGTTGAGTCTGTTATGGGCACCATAACAAGGATGAGTTTTACGGATGGACTTGAAAGAGGATAATGTGGTGTTTTAATGGAGTTTAAGGGGGAGCTCCTCTTAGACACAGGGGTTGGCATGGGAGAAAGCACAAAGGTGACTGAGGGAAAATTGGATCAATGGGCATTGGAGTCTGACACCTCTGGCAGAGTGGATGTGAGGGATGTATTAGATAATGTATTAGAGTCAGAAGGCAAAGGAGGGTTAAGAGCTGTACAGTGTTAAATGTAAAGAGAAGTGTCTAGTGATTGATGCAATGGAGGAGGGAGAAGCAGTGGAGAGACATGAAGTGGGGGAGGAGATGTATTCAGAACAATAAGCAAAGGAGATTAATAACAACAGCTTTTTTTTTAATCAATTGGAGTGGGATAAGATAGCCTGTGTCATGCGTAGGTAGGAAGAAGTTTTAGTAGTCAAGATGCACAATGATGAGGGCCTGGACAAAAGTTTTCACTGGATGGAATGAGAGGAAAGGCCTGCTTGTGTAGGAAGAAGCAGAAAAGTTTAGACATGACATGAATGTGATCATCAAAAGAGACAGCTGCATCAAAGATGCTAGGTAGAATATCGGCCTGATTCTACCTATGGTAGATGGTGGTGTTTTCATGGTGACTTAGAAAGGAGGCAAAGGAGAGTGACTGGAAGGAAAGAACAAGAGCTCAGTTATATTAACCTCTATTATAGTAACCCTTATGCCAAGTTTGTTACTTAAGTTTAATTAAAGTATCTCATCAGCCATGCAGTTATCTCATTTTCAAAAGCCACCGTATGAACTCAGCAAATAAACGTTTCTCAAGCAATGTGAAGAAAAGATTGCTTCAGGAGTTTAACTGTTTTCCTGCCTTAGGTGACAGTGTTTTATTGGCTATATTCCATGAGAAATATCAGAGCTCAGGTCCTTGTAACTGTTCAAAATGTGGCACTCCGTACAAGCCTTTAGAACAACTGCCAAGGCCTAGGTAGGTAACCGTTGCATGTTCATTTACTTTGTTTTTACATTGCAGAGTCTGAACTAATGGTCAATAATGCTCATTCTATACTTTAATAATGCTAGGAAATAAGACTACTGTCTAATGGGACCATATACTAGATGTTAGCCTCTCTTAAAAAAAGATCCCGACTGGTTGGTGAGGGTGGCAAGTTTTCCTTCTACAGACAATAGCAGAGGAAGGACATTTTCCCTCAAATTTCTGATAAATGTAGTCACTTTGAACTTCTTTTAAAAACTAATTTTTATTACATACTCAACAAAATCACCTCAAAATTCAACACCTATTTACATAATGGAACTGTACGCTGGATACTATAATAATTCAATTATATCACCGTGTCTGAGATTCAGTTATAGCACATCTCTTATCTGTATTCTCCTTCCTTCTGGAGCTCAGTATTTACATGTAACCTTGCACAATCATCAGAAAATTTATGAGACTAGGCATGAAATCTACTCACCTACCCTTACTAAGGAGATAGTGATAGGAAAAATAATAATGATATTCTACTCTGTCAAACAAAGTTATTCAAGTAGAAAAGGCAAGTAGGATTTGCAAGGCGGTTTATATGATACTATTAGTGAATAGACATCTTTCTGAAAGCCAGCTTTAAATCCACAGATTTTGTACAAGATTGTAGATATAACCTCTTAACCTGGTATTTTACCCTCTAACATTCATGGCATTTTATGATAGGCGTTCCTGCTCTGTGAAGTGTGATATACTGTGCCTTGTGTTTGACTGAAGCTGCTGTATATGTTATGCCTTGTTTACATGTTAATTTTTTATTTGTATTACTTTGTGAGTATTCACCATGTTACGCAGTAATAGTGTAACTGTACCATGAGTAAGGCCAGATGCATTTGATCAAGAAAAACTGTTTTACATTATGATTTTATGCTTGTATTATAAAACTGTTAATTAAAACTAAAATTTGGCTGATTAGATTCAACAGCCAATATTGGGTAACATCACAGAGAACTAGTATTCCATGCAACTCAGGTAATGAGTCAATCTATCATGGGCAGGGGTTGAGGTTTTGTGAGAAATACAAGCAAATTTTTCTTATGAGCAGTTCTTTTTCAGAGTGACTTGCTCTATGTTTTAATCATCTGACCAGAAAAATCATTCTGCTTTCTATCAATTTGAGTTTTATTCTCTGGTTACTAACTTTCCAGAGTGATGTTAATGATACAATTAAGAAGATTTTAAAAAGCTTTAAAAATTCATTAATAAAGAAAGATTCCTTTTACCTGACTACTGTAAAAAGTTTCAGATGAAACTGTCTGTTGAGAACACCTGAGCAAAGTTGTACTGGGATTGAAGGAATCCAGTTGCACAATAGGTATCAGTAGACTCCTGTGTGCACATATACTGTGCAAAAGACTCACGTATTCTGTAAGACTTTCCTGAGTGAATGAAAGATTGTTAGACTATTTGCCTTTCTGGAAGGTGAGGGGGTTTTTGTTCACTTAATCAACATGGGCTTAACCACCTTTCCTGTAGAGCACAGGTGCCTAAACTGTGGCTCTCAAGGCTCCAAATCATGAGCCCTATGGGTAACCATATTAAGAAGAAAATTTGTATTTGATAATGAACTGAAAATGTGATCCCTGAGTTGTGCCATGAGATTTTTAAACTGATGTATCTGAATAGTTCCTGTTACTATGGGGAGGGCTCAGGGTCTGTGGGAGCCCAAAGGAGTGGATTTCAATTGGTTCTGCCCGAGCTTAGGGGAATGCCTAGCAAAGAACCTTTCCCCCCATGGAACCACTGAGGGTAGCCCAGGACAGGAGAACGAGGAGAAGCTGAGAAACTACAGCTATAGCTCCTTGATTCTT